TTGAGATAATTAATGGGGATTAATTGGTGTGGGGATATAAGCCACGGCGCGACGGAGAGAGGGTCGTCTTGTCTTGGTCGGCGTCTTGGATAGAGCTGCAGCGACGGTGCCCGGGGAATCGCAGAGCAGGCGGTGACGGTAGTAGAGCAGAGATAGAGTGGGTTAGCGGCGACAGACGGAGTAGAGTATAGAGAGACAGTGATAGCGAGAACGCAGTGTGCGAACAGGGGTAGCCATGCATCTGAAGGATGCAGTGTAGAATAGCAGGGGAGTCGACAGACCTGCAGAGAGAGAGAGGGAGACGCGGAGGAGACGCGGCGCGGCGAGAGAGAGAGACGCGGAGCGATGCGGAGTGAGGGCACGGAGAGACACGGAGCGGGGGCACTGCAGAGAGAGACGCGGAGCGGAGTGAGGCCGCGCCGAGACGCGGAGCGGTGGCGCGGCGGAGGTGGACTGTTGAGCGGAAAATAAAGAGAACAGAAATACAGCCGAGTACGAGTCCTACACATGGAACAGATAACGACTCGATGCCCGATTTACAAACACGAAGGAGGCATCTTGACGCAAATGTCTTGCTAAACCATATCAATGTAAAATTGCAGTTCTTGCTCTCCATCAACATCGGCCATAGGAAGAATGAGACTCCTTTGGGGAGACTGACCCCCCCACTGTAGCTATGTGGAGCCTTCACTCACCAACAGCTCCAGCCGCCATGGCTTTGAGTATACCTTTGCATCAGGCAGGGGGTTGAGCTTAAACACTTTCTTTTCTGTGCCACTGAGCAAAGCGTAAGATTTTGATTCATAATTAAATATTAGGCTAACTTAAGAATAGATCAGCAATTAATGGTTAATCAGTAATGAGTTGCACCTGAAGCAAGAGCACATCAGCTAGCTGCTCTACCGCACGCAAGGTAACTTGCGTTTTACGTCTCTTAATCTCAGGATGTGCTTATGTTTAGTGATATACACTTGCTATAACATCCATGTGTCCTTTTTAAAGAGCTTGTGTGGGAGCTTTGCCTATCTGCAATGAAATTCCTAACATAAGAGGACCATCATGCATTTCTTAAGAAAATGAATTTGGCTTTTGCATAATGCACAAAAGCCGAGTGCTTTTTACATGTTCCTGTGTGTTGTTTGAAATTAATGAGATTCACAGGAATATTGAACATGAAATATGTTCATTCAGGAAGACTGAAATGTGCACGAGCCTGTGCTTTCTTTTGTTAGTAGGCCTGAGGCAGCAGTGGAACTTCCACATCCCCATGATGTGAACCTTACTTCACCTATAGGAAAACCACCGTTTACTCCTCACAATAGGCCCCAGATGGTTGATAGATAAATCAACTCTTGACTGGGATTTGAAAGAAATACTAAGATTGCAAATTAAGAAATATCCAAAATATAATTCATAACACATAGTTTATAGTGACTATACACATGCTGTTAGCATGCACCTATGAAGGCTGACCAGCAAATGAGGGGGAGGGGGTAGTATTATGCCTGGTCATCTGTATCATGTATTAATTTAAGTCTGAGTTGACCTGCTGGAGGCCTAAGACAGGTTTAGACAGCAATTGCCACTGAAAGTGCGTATCCATGTATGGAACTCAGTTTGCGAAAGCATTGAACAGTGAGATAACCACTGTACCACGCACACACCATCCATACACCAACGTCATATACACGATTATGTATGAAGAATAAGACCACTTGTTCATATAATTTAACAATGGTGATGCTTTCTGTGCCTTACATATTAATAGCGCATACTTCAATATCTTGATTAAAAGCATATGCTTGCTGTTTTGAGGTGTTTCCTAATTAACACCTATCCTGGGCCACAATAATCTTAGTGATGCCCAATTATCATTAAATCACAGCACGGATTATTTAAAAAAACACGAAACAAATGAGATGCCACTCTTACGTGACGAAGCAATCCACACCTCGCTTCACCAAAAGTAAAAATTAAAATGAAAACCCCATTGAGATTAATTGGCTACGAGATTCAATATGGAACCTTCTCTCAGATACACCACTGCCAACAACCACCCCAATCTTAAATTCCTCCCTTTGACCCCTGCCTCATGCCCCCGGGAGGAATGCAGTGTTCCTTCAAGGGAACCCACAGTCCCACACAGACAGGTACACGCTTGCGCGTTCGGGAATGCAGTCGCACGGCCTGCCAGCAGGCCATATCTGCAGCATACATTGATTAATCCATTCAGCTTTAGTGAAACATTCGTGCTTGCAGCGTGCCAAGCAGCGGTGTTCACAGCGGCTTCTTCTGGAGAAGTGAAAAATAAACATAACTTGCCAGCTAGATAACAAAAGCCTCAGTCAAAAATATACGGCATATGCGAAATTCATAAAGCTCACGATGCTTTGAGCAATTTTAAGGCAATCAGCATGCAGTTACGTATGTTGTAAATTTGAGTTGTGCTTGCAATAAGTTTATGCTTTTTTGTGTGTTTTAGATAATGTATGCAGCTGTATTTTTTGTATGCAGCTGTATTTTAGTTTGACTTTTGATTATTTTTTGTCGCTTTTTTAGTTCGTGCTCACGTGAACAAAGCTGATAATACAAATTCCCAAAACATCCCTCTAATCAGTCAAAATGTGTAACATGTTTTGCGATGCCGATTCCTCAACAGTGGTAATGCCGAGTGGTGGAATTTGCGACTGTTATAACTCGGCTACAATCTGTAGGAACCGATCCTTTGGTTATGCTGCTGCATTGTTTGTGGTGCACAAATAAAACGAAATACTCAACACGAGGGTCATTGCCTGAAACGTTGCCTATTATATATTTTTCCGACATGAACCAGCGGTGTGCCCAATTGAATTATTTATGTAGCAATATACTGTGTACGTCTTTGACTGAGTGTGATATTCACTGGATAATTGCATTCCGTATAATTTATATGTAAAAAATGGTACGTCACCACTGTACAGGTTTGCAATGTATGTGTCAATCGACAACCTTGCAAACGAGATGTTCCATCTCAAGGGATTTCGCAATTGAAATATTTTAATTGAAATAATCATAGCTTACACTAGTAATTCAGGGCTGCCGATAGGGATACATACTGCCCGCATTGTACATTTAAGCAAGGATATAAATGCTCACTTTGACTTGGCTATGTTTATAAAATAAACGTTTATAAAAAATATGAGTTCTGCACGCACTCGAATGTTACGCAATTTTACTTGTCTCATCCATAAATGCAAGAAGCCTTCTCATATTTTAAACTACCCATTCACACACCCAGTCCTTAGAAAATAAAACACTCTCTAAGCGAATTATGCCACACCGACCCTTGCGTCTTTTTGTTAATTTACCATTCATGACTCATTCCACTCAAGTTCATCCACTCATCTACTCTGCTGCGCAGGTGAGAAGTATTTCTTGTATAATGTACCTGTCGCATTGTGTATGTGGATTAGGATTTCACCTGGTTGCAGGTGATGCATAAAGAGAGAGGCTTAGAAGTGTGCACGTATTCCCGTATGTGCATGCCACGTGTGTCAGTGAGCTGCGCTACTATTCCCAACAACCTGAGGTGGATTCCTGGCATGCAGAAATCCGTTGTAATCGGTATACAAAACAGTTATATGCCTTTCCTAGGTCAACTTAGTCTTAAAGGAGTACCCAGTGTGGTGTGTAAATATAAGCACTAGGGAGACAAGGGGTAGCCTCTTGGACACAGTTGCTGGCCACCACACCACCTCTTCATATGCCATTCTGGATTTATTACGTGTTTTTTATGAACAGGTATTTCCACTATAGTCCAAAAAGCATAAATTGGGGGTTGTCAGTGACAGTAAATCAAGAAGGTTGTTGACCTATCCTTATTGCTTTTTGAGCAATGCAACGTTGTGTGTGTGGACTTTTTCCAGGTAATCCAGTATATCGCAAAGTCTTGGTGTTGTTGACTCATTCGGAAATTTGGTGAACATCACAATTTAGGTCCCTTTGGAACAAGAAAAACATGTCCTCAGACTCAGTGAGGCTTTCTTGGGTAAAATAATAGTAAATGGACATGTTGCATAGTCAGGGCTGAACTGAGCCATTGAGCAACCAGGCATTTGCTCAGTATGCCAGACTGGCACTGTGCCAACTCGTAATCGGCCCAACTTACATCTCAACTTCAGTGATCCGGGAAACAATTTAAATTGGGGTGAGTGTGGTGGTCCATCTCCAGGACCAGCTTAAGATGGAAATGCATACGTTGTGCCGAATCGCCCAGTCCACACCTCTTCGTGTGCGATGCTCACATGCTCTACGTGTTGGTAGCGGTGCCATGTGCCGTGTCGGAGAGCAACACATCGCAAAGTAACACGTCACTGTACTCAGATTACCAAAGGCAGATTCTGACAATCGTGTATTATTATTCGATTTGCATTTTGTAAGCATGTTACCATTACTTAACAAGTACCAGTTGAATACGTTGAACGATATTCCAAACTTAACATAAAGTAAAACGTTATTTAAAATGCCACTAAAAAGTGGCAAGACAGCTGATGGCAATGTGTAAACTGTAGTTCAAGCTACAATGCCAATTACTTAATCACAATAGAATGCAATTATGACTTGTTTTAAACAAGCAGAATGTTTCAAGCGAAATGAAAGTGATCGAGTACTCAGATTACTTTCCTTTGAAAACGCCTACTATAGTATTACATTCCATTACCACTACAGCCGCAAGTTATAACACTGTGTAACATGTTTTTTTTTTCCTGGATTGTGTTATTTCCTAATTGCTTATGCCTCAAGAGTACAGAAAATGGCTATTATTCCCCAGAAACTTTGCTTTTGTGACCTGGACAGTGATATTTAAAAAAATACCTATTTTCCAGAACATTCCAGATAGATTCAGTGCTGAGTAAACTTGGAGTAACTTCTAGAACATTCTAGAACTTTCCAGCCTTAAGCCCACCAGTTCAGTTAAGTTCCAGCTGCCTAAGTGGATACATATCTGTAATTTTTCTGAGATGGAATCAAGAGGCTGCAAGCATCCGGCAAACACATTTTGCTATGTCTGCGGCCACTTTCTCAAGACAAGGGCGAAAAAGTACTCTGTGGAAGCATCTGCAAAGATGTGTGAGGCCTAAAAGGCACATTTTGACATGCCTGTCAGGGATCAAGACAAACTCTGGGCACCTCATTTAACCTGCGAGCAATGCAAAAAAAACTCTGGAAGGTAAGATGGATAATTGTTGCTCGGAATTTTATGTCATGAAATTTGTTTAAAATTTTAAATTGTAAAACTTTTCATTTTAGAATGTTTTACAATTTTCAATGTTATTGAAAAAATATATCAGACATGAAAAATGTTGCGAGAATCTCTTACACATTTGTCATGGGTGAAATAAAAGTATTTTTGTAGGATGCTACAGAGGGGAAAAGAGAGCCATGAAGTTCGCTATCCCAAGAATTTGGCGGAAACACACTGATCACTCAAGCAACTGCTACTTCTGCATGGTGGACCCCTCCAAACATCGGACTGGCAATAATTCACCTGCTATCACGTCATCCATCGCCCCGGTGCCACACTGCCATTAGCTCTCCGTACCCACTCCTCCTGGAGAGAGAGCAGCTATCTTTAAAAGAGAGCAGCAAGTCAGAGAGCGAGGAAGACATTGTAGATCCAGATGACAATTTCAGAGGTGGAGTTGAGAGAAATCCATACTACCCCAACCAAAAAGACCCCAACGACTTGGTCAGAGATCTTGGTCTCACCAAGTCCAATGCCGAGCTTTTGACATCTTGGCTCAAGCAGTGGAACTTGTTGGATGAAAGTGTGCAAGTCGCAGATCCGAGGAAGTGTCACCAACCTTTTTGCAGCTTCTTCACCTGTAAAGATGGGCTCTGCTTCTGCCACAATGTGACCAGTCTGTTCGTGGAAATTGGAATCGCCTGTAACCAGAATGAGTGGCGCCTTTTCATTGACAGCTCATCCAGGAGCCTCAAAACCGTGCTGCAAGTGCCCATCTCTTCCCCTGGCTTACTCGGTGCACCTCAAAGAGGATTACAACAGCATCAAGACCTTACTGGACACCTTGAAGTATGATGAGTACGGCTGGGAGGTCATCGGAGACTTCAAAATGGTGGCATTCCTAATGGGTCTCCAAGGCGGTCTTACCAAGTTTTCCTGCTATCTTTGCCTTTTGGACAGCAGGAACACCAAGGCGTACTACCACAGGTGGGACTGGCCACAGCGGACCGAGTTCTCTGTGGGGAGGAACAACGTCAAGTGGGAGCCACTGGTGGACCCCCAAAAGGTGCTGATGACACCACTGCACATCAAATTGGGCCTTATGAAACAATTTGTCAGAGTTGTAGATAAGGAGTAGGCAGCTTTCAAGTACCTTCAAGACTTCTTCCCTAAGCTGTCTGAGGCAAAGGTCAAAGCCATTATCTTCGTCGGACCACAGATGAAGAAGATCTTGGAGTGCAATGAATTCCCCAGGAAGCTCACTAGTAAGGAGAAAGCGGCTTGGAACAGCTTTGTCGCAGTGGTTTGTGGCTTCCTGGGCAATCACAAGGTCGAAAACTATGTGGAGCTGGTTGAGACTCTGGTAAAGAACTATGGCACAATGGGCTGTAGGATGTTCCTCAAAGTCCATATCCTTGATGCTCATCTTGATAAATGCAAGAAGTACACGGGAGCGTACTCGGAGGAGCAAGGCGAGTACTTCCACCAGGATATACTGGACTTTGAACGCCGCTACCACGGACAGTATAATGAGAACATGATGGGAGACTACATTTGGGGGCTGATTCGTGAAAGTGATTTACAGTATGATCGTAAATCTCGAAAAACTACTCACTTCTAAATCTTTGTCGTCATATTTGTATTAATTTCGTATAAATACATGTTCATTTTGATTCATGTTTTTTATTCTCACTTTATGTGAACGAAAATACACGAATTCACCCGTTTTCTCATTGAAAATAGGTACATTTCAAAATATTACTGTCCTGGTCACAAAAGCAAAGTTTGTGGGGAATAATAGCCATTTTATATACTTTTTCGGCATAATCAATTACGAAATAACACTTACTACCTAGGAGCAAAAATTGTGTTACATAATGTAATCAGTCATCCCTCTCAAGCAACCCTTACCAACACTTAGTGACTCTCAATTGTACCAATTATTACATTAAGGCCGGCAGTAGCATTTGAACAAGCTCGTATCGTTTATTCCATCATTTGTTTTGTTTCAGTGACCATGGCAACGACTGATTGCTTTAGCAACGGCCTTGCAGATGGATCGTTGCTGCACATTAAGTCACAGAAAATGTGATTATCGTGAACAAAAGCCTCAGCTGAGGCCATCACTGGGGAACGGGCACACATCAGGACGTCCTTGATGAGACAGATAATGCTATTTGGCCTCAATTTACTGCTGTGATAATCAGTTTGGCAGAACAGTAGACGCAAGGCTCCAGAGTTGGCGTGAGGTGTGCTGGTTTGTGGATCGAACGGCGCGGGCTCTGAGAGCTGGGAGAGTAAAAAACAAAATAAAAAGTAACTTGACAAATTAATTCACTTTGATGAAGCAGTAGTCAAAAGAGATTTTCAACAAATAAAGATCGTTTACCATATATGTTGTCATATATATATTGATGTACGTTTAAAATTCAATAAAAGCTTGTCATATAATTGACTCTTATCTGGCGTGTAGCTGTGGTACGAGTGCTTGACTGACAAATAAAATATCTTGAGTTGAAATCCAGGTTGGAGGTCGACTCAGCCCGTCATCCTACTGAGGTCAATAAAATTACTAATTTTCCCAAGTTAACATTGGGCGTCCTGTGTAGAGAGCAGCCATTGCCATTGGAACGTGAATTTTCCACAAATGGTTCAAGGCTGTCAACAAAATGGATACTACTCAGTGCCTGTCCGTGCATGAATCAAATGTTGCCTTTTGACTCGATACACACCTTACCTTGCCAGGTGGCACTATAGTCAGAACTCACAACCTAAATGCATAAATTATAATTATACGAGTTTCACATCCATGCAGCCAATTATCAATAACAAGTAATAGCAATAGTGAAAGTTGATAGTGAATGTTAACATCGAAGAAAAGCACTATGTGGTATGAATTCCCATTGGCAATCCTGAGATCGTGATGCAAATTCCACATTCCTATGGTGGGACCAAGTTTCTCAACAAGACATCTGATATTTACTTTCCCCGATATGTTAGTCGGGTCTGGTGGTGCATACTTATAACCTAGTGCAAAAGTAAGCAGTACAACACATGCATTATTGAATTCATCTGTGAAAAGCTTTGTGATTCCCTCAAATGCCCAATTTCTCTCCAGGTACTCAGGTTTCCTCCCACATTTAGAAACACTTCTAAATTGCATTAACACAACATCCCAATGCAGTATTCTAAACAAAAATATATTAAGACTCAAGAAGGCTATTCTGGGTAACATAATTCACGTTATTCTTATTATAATGATTATTATCTATGTATGTTGAACTTCTTTCGCATGACATGTATGCAACCATGCTATCGGAGGTCCGCGGGAAGGACAACAAACTAAACACAATATATATAGACTCCAGGGGTATAATTGATTTAGTTGACTTTAACTGGAATTGGAAGTCCCCACTTTCTGGTTCAAGATACCCAGCCAGTTATGATGAGCAATATATATTTCATATAGTGCTGTAATTCACTGCATTACTAATGTTATAATTGAGATATATATATGAAATACCCAATGGCCTGAAGCAAGGGAGAGAGATGATTACTGTTAGTGGTGAGGTTATAGGATTTTAACAGCTCACCAAGCCTCAAGTGTTATGAAAAGATCACATGTCAGCAGCATAACCTAATACGTAAAAATATACTCACCCTGACAATATATCCTCCACGACATATGACAACCCTTTCACGCAAAATAAACGAATGACTACCCGATTGCACTGATGTTTCCCTAGGGCAAAGTAGCAGGACATGGTTTGGTTTGTGTGTTGGTTTACAGACCCCAGTTGGTGAAATTATGAATGTGTCTGAATGCATTTGAGAGCCTCTGCTGCACATTCAATGCATTAAATGTTGTGGCTGTGTGTTTAGCATCATGATGTAATTCAGTGATGCATTCATTTTTGCTATTGAACTTTACTGATCGACATAATTTAATATTGGCCCTCATGGAATCGAGACTAAAAGTGATAAATACAGTAGTTTAAAAATGTGTATCTGTTGAATAGAGCGCTTTGATCTATAATCCATCTGGTGTGGATACAAATATGAACTATTTGGTAGAAGCCTGGAAAGGGCGCTGTATAAATCCTAAATAGAATAGAATAGTCATCCTATGCAGAGACTGGAGCCTTCCAATAAAACTGTGGAATTCCCACCCTCTAGCTCAGGGCCTCCAATTGAGATAAGAACCGTATCGTGCATTTTTGACAATGGTGACACTTTAATTTGCGTGTAGCAGATGCCCTGTATGTGCAAACCTTACCCGACAAAGCATGAAGGAGCATCGACCAGTGTTGAGAGAGGCCTATTGAAGTGGCCTCCAGGGTAATTCTCTGGTGTCATCTTCTTGGGTCCTTCTCTGAGATGAGCTTGCACTCTGCTTAGGATATTTTTTCACATCCGATATAAACAACTGTGGCATCATTGGTAAAACATGTCAGTATTAAAAAATAATTTTCAATACGGAAAAATCCTGTGTTTCAGAAGTTTTTAGGAGGGGATGTTTGTCCTATTCCCAATTTGGAGATGTCCAGATAATTAAAGAAAATTAGCAGCAATCAAAGAAGACACTCAAAGGTCAGTTTTGACAGATCAACACCCCTCCCTACTTGCTGTGTTTACATCTAAATGCCATCACGTAGCCTCTTTCTATGTGCGTGTTATTGTGTTTTCGTATGTGTATCACAGTACATGTTTTGTTATTTAGCATCACTGTACTATGTGTACTGCAATATGTATTTTGTTATTTACCATTATAATCCTGAAAATCACTGAGTGGTTGGATTGAGTCTTAAAATGCACACAACAATTCTGCTGTTAATCCAGCAACTAAGTGGATATGATCAAATCTTGACTTAAAGCTTTCATTACTACAGGAATTCATATTCTTGGATCTTTCAGTAAAGTCACGTAGATAGGTTAAAAAAAAATTCGACGTTTCGATCGCTTGTGAAGCGATCGAAACGTCATAG